ACTATTAAGTTCCCTTAGTCGCATCTTACTACACCCACGGGAAAGGAAGGAGTGACCAATTCTATGCCTGGACTATACAGCAAATATAATTAATACTTATTAGTAAACAATAGGTATATTACTTATCAGAGTTCAATATATTATGTTATATCGAATTTAAATAATACCTCAATGAAGTAAATGTACATGCGCGTGTGTATGCGTGCGCGTGTGTATACGTGCGCGTGTGTATGCGTGCGCATTTGAATACGTACGCGTGTAAATGCGTGCGCGTGTGTATACGTGCATGTGTACGTGTGTGCATATGTGCAAACATGTATGTGTGTGTGCGTATTATTTGGTTCACCAAATAATATTTAATAATATTTTCAAATAACAACATTATTTTCACCAATACTAAACCTAATAATATAAATATAGATAACTCAATTAGAACCAGAAAAAGTTTAATTTTCGCAATTGTTCTTTGCGAAGCAATATTCCGCTTCTTGAAATACTAAATCTCCTTATTCCTTACAATTCCGCTACAATATACCATTTCATGTATCGATTACAGTCTCACAAAAAGAGCCAATTTTATTAAAAACCGAACGACTTTATGAAAACTTAATTGAGACACGTTCTCGTAAAGAAGGCTTTTAACAATAGCTATACATAAAAAGTTTCTGATCCAATTACAGTTCTCTACGACTTATAACGTAAAATATTTACTCGGAATAAAGTTGCACGTTGAATTAAGGTTCCTTAGGATCATTATATATATTTTAATTTATTTTTCTATAGATTTTTTATAACATAGGGGGCATATGAGTATGCGGCTCAGTTGATGCTGAGTGATTACCAATATCCAATCCAACTAAAATGGTACCAACCTAAATAAAAATTGATATAGACAATTATAATAACTGAGGAGCATAGATGCAAGTAGAATTTGCTCTTTAAAAAGTGGCAAACAAGCATAAAACCTGTCTGGTTATAAATTATCACTGTAGCCTATGGACGCCTGTAACAGTAGTAGTGGCGACCGCCAAGCGTGGCAATTACTGAAAACCCCCCAAGGGGAGGCTTATGTTCATCGGTGAACAATTAAAGGCATATATGATGATGATGATGAACAGTATCTACTATATTTCAATAATTGCCTGTAGATGATTTGTCTGTTATACTTTAGTGACCAAATCGCTTAACACGACAATAGGCCAAAGGACAATTACGCCACGGTAACACGTGCTTACAAATAGCACCTAACATTCCAAACATTATACGGGAGAATTTGTACAATAAATACACGTGTTTGACCTTGATTAGAATGTATTACGGTAGATCTAGTATTCTTTAACGATAGAGTTACAAATACATTTGCCATTTATATTTTCACATTTATTTTTAACATTTCATATATGTATTTTTTTTAACGGGTAAAGATGGAATGGTAGCCCCGTCTGCGCTATCGGTATACACTGGCCGAGTACCAGTGAAGTGTAACAAGTGAGGATGAAGGTAGGTCAGTTGGGCCATAGTAACCAATTGAATAAGAATCAACTACTAGGATTTTCAGGGTGAACCGCGTGGCGGTCGACCTAATAGGGTGTATTGCTGGCAATGGGGCTGTTAAATCCCATCACTAACAATCCCTTTCCGGGGGAAAAGGGATTGTTAGTAATGGAGACTGAGAATCCCATTGCTAGCAATATACCCAACCAGGTCGATCTCCTCGCGGTTCTCCCTAGAAACTATCATGGTTAATTCCTGATGAATACATCATGATGGGCTAACTAGCCTGTTTTCATTCTCATCTCTCTCAACAGGAATGGGACAGAGATACCCAAACAAATGACTTTTGTACATAGTCACCCTCTGGTAAATTACTATGTATCAAATTTCATTTATAATAATAGGATTCACGAATTCCTGTTACCAGTTCACATTACCAGTTACATCGTGAGCGTAACTTTTGCAAGAGTCTAAATGTCAATGCTTTCAAAATAAATAGATAAACGTGAAGAAAACCTGCTCATTATGTACTAGCCTTTACTCGCAACTTCGCTTGCGTGAGCGGAACATATTCACTGATCTAAAAAAAGTAATCTATGTCTTCCTCCATCCCATATAATACAATTATACCAAACTTCATAATTCAAAATAATCACTAAATTAGTTCAGCCAGTAAAGCACTAAGAGTTAACAAACAAACTCACTTTAATATTTATAATATTACTAAAGAAATCAAGTAAATTATACTTCGCAAAAGAAGCAACTTTAATAGCACTATGATAAAATTCATATTGGCTTGTAACCTGACAAATGATGAAATCCATTTATCTATTACCCTACTTCGTAGACACATTAGATGAAATGTCACTCGTCTGCGAAGTACTTTAAACTATCTAACTAATTTGTTAACTTGAACAATACTATAAGCATTACAGAAGTACCATGGACATATATATAATAATATTATGCCTATGGTACTTCGTATTCGATGCCATTTCTGAGGACTAAGATGTTATGCCTTCAAACATACTTCTTAATACAACATCACACAGTCGTGCAAGTGCAACTGCTTTAAGACGGCAGTTACATCTGCATGGAGACAAAAACACAAGTGGGACAGAGATCCCCATGCCAAGAACTTGCAAAATTTCTCTCTCTAATAATAAGTCATTAAATACAGACGACAATAATAATTCATAAATATTAGAACGAGCGAAAAAATCAATGGCTATTTAATTGAAGTACCTAAACTTTTCCGAACTAGAATGTTTTCAAGTAAGTTAGTTTTCTAAGAAAATGCCTTATTATTTTTGTTAATACGGCACAAACTCGTTCCAGTCTGGATAATAGAAAAATACTTCAGAGAGCTAGAACAAATAAAAGGCTAGGACGAGACACCTGTAAACATTTTATCTTTTTACCTGTTGGGCTTAAGTTCGACTACGTAGATATACTTTTTTCTTAGTAGACAGATAATAGACTATAATATAAGCTAACATTATAAAGAGGAAAAATTTGTATGTTGTTTATAATGGATAAACTGAAAAAAATACTTAACTAATTTCAAAGATTCTTTAACCTGCAGAAAGTGTATTAAGGGACATTATCGGGAATAACATAGGCTTTATTTTATTTAAAAAAAAAGCTGTACAAAGACGAGGCGGGACTTTATTAATTTATACCCAGAACATATAAATTTTGTCTTTTACAAACTGTATACAATGTTTGTCGAATATTTTATATTTCACTATAATATCTAACTAGCTAATTAACTATTATTTGACGGGGTTAAAAATAAGTCTATTTTCTATGAACCAAATATCGTCATCATCATCTTCATCATTAACATAATAACAGCCGTTATCTATCCACTGCTGAACATATACCGCATAAAAAGAATTTTGCCAGTAGTTACCACGCTTGGCAGACGAATTGGTAACCGCAGTTAAGCCAATGCAAATTTTTTAAGACAGATACTGCTTCCTATCTTTCGACCAAGTATTATGTTTATATAAAATTTGTGACAATTTGTCTAATCTTTAAAATATAATGAGATAACAAACACACTCTCAGATTTATAATAGTATTTTTTTGTTTATTTATACAATTTAGAATGGCAAACAAGCTGACGGCCCACCTGATGGAAAGTGGTAACCGTCACCTATAGACATGAGCAGTACCATGGACATAACAGAGTATACTGTTTCGCCCATGATACCCCCCATGCGTTGTCATTCCTGAGGACTCGGGTGTTATTTTCACGCCATATCCCACCCTTCACACCGAAACACAGCCATGCAAACACAACTGCTTCACGGTTGAAACACAAATAGAACAGAGGTACCCAAGCAATCGAATTTTGTACAAAGTCTCCCTCTAGTAATAACAATGATAAGGATTTATATACTAAAAATAATTACGGTTATTCTTGATAAATATATTAATTTATCTCCACAATAAAGATCTGCCATTTAATATATGAAACCAGATATTCGCTATACGAAATTCGTGTATTACTGATAATGTTAGTATGAGAAAAAATATATAGTGATATATATGTATATATATACTTTTTTACGAGGAAACACAATATTCAGAGGGGAAAGAATCGTGTATTGACAAATCTTGATACGACTCTGTATTGTTATAAAACTATTATCCTCATATATTCAACGACGATCCTGTTGGCAAATCTTTAAAAATGTTATTTATTACTCGTATTCCTAGTTTCAGATTTATGTCAACATTCCAATATTTGAAATGGAACGCAGACATAAAGACATTTCGCTTAGTTAACATGTAATGATAATATTTATCAATAATAATAACAACATAACTTATAAAACAAATAAATGGCCGTGTATTCTCCCATCATAGAATAGGTCACACATTTCCCATGAGTTTCGTAAGAGGCGACTAAGGGAAAACGAGAGATGGGCAGTAGCGTCTTTCTTAAAACATCTCCAAAATTTATTGCCATGTGATTACCAATCCGCCTGCTAAACGTTGTAAATATTGGTAAAACCCACCAAGAGAGGGCTTATGTTTAGCATTGGATAGTTAAAGTCTCTTATGATGATTATGATGAACAAACATAAAAAGTAATACAACCGAATTGTGAATCTCCTTCTTTTTTAAATCGGTTGTTAAAATAAAATATACTGATAAAACAGAAAATTTGAATTATATTATGTTTAAATCTTTAGATGTATTGTTTTTATACGACTTAGAATGTCAAACAAGCTGACGACCCACCTGATGAAAAGCGGAAACCGTCGCCCATAGACATGAGCAGTAGCATGGATATAACAGAGTATACTGTTTCGCCCATGATACCCCCCATGCGTTGCCATTCCTGAGGACTCAGGTGTTATTCCTCATATCTTCAATAATATACATATATTTTTTATTATATAAGTATTTATAAAGCTATCTATTATATCTATAATTGTTACTAGTAGTGTTTCTTTAGAATTATTATTTTAAACCAGTTTATTCTCTTTCAGATATCTTCTTCAACATAACTCTTCGTAGGAAGACACTGTTTTATACAGTTAACCTCATTGTGCCTTGTGTAGGCATATCATATTTATCTGTACTGGTATTCTACTTGCCAGCAGACTCTGGAGAGAAGATAGCTCTCAGTATTTCTATTCTTCTATCCCAAACCATGTTCTTCTTACTCATTTCCGAAATCATACCGTCGACATCCCTAGCACTGCCTTTATTGGGCAAATACCTGCTCTTCACGATGTTATTAGTAGGTCTATCTGTTGTCATAACCATTATAATATTGAACGTGCATTACCGTAAACCGAGTACACATAAAATGGCACCGTGGGTTAGAAAGTTCTTTATAACGAAGCTCCCGAAACTACTACTAATGAGGGTACCAAAGGATTTACTGAGAGATCTAGCAGCGCAGAAGATAGCCGGTAGAAGTATGAAAAAGAATAAGTTCAAAGATGCCCTAGCAGCCGCGGAGCAGACTAACTCCAACGCTTCCAGCCCTGACTCGTTGAGACACCATCTTCCTGGAGGATGCAATGGACTTCATTCTACTACTGCAACAAATAGGTAATAATTTAATATCCCTTTCTATGACACTATTATTATTACGTTATTTTGCATTGCTAAACACAAACCATCCTATACTATAAGGAACAGTTCTGATCTACCTGTATTCATCTGTTCTTCGTAACATATTTGAGTTATTGTTATCTTCAACTAGTATTGGATCTCTTGTACTGCGTTTGCCAGTACAGATTCCCGCTAGAAGATCTTTCTTCTTCCTTATAAGCTGGCTCATTGCTTTACTTTTCCTCTTTATAGTAAGCTTGCAATAGAGCATGGGCTCCTTCTAATGATCAACGTCTACCACAGACTATGACCTTTATTAATACCAGAAGCATCGTCCAATCGTTGCCGATTCTTGTAACATGAAAATTTCAATCAATCTAGTCTCTGTCTCTACTTTTTAAGCGCGATAAACAAGCAATTCAAGAGAATTGAAGAATTTGAATTATTTAATAAGTGAAATAATCTGCTTAAATAATTTACCAAATTTGCAATGGGTATTAAAGTGTAACTTTGCCTAACAATATTACCCGCCTTGAAAATTAAATCATGGTAACAAATGATCGATAACTGTTAACTGTCGATCTCCAAATTTGTTTTGCAACTTTATTTAAGTTACAAAAGATAAGAGAATATAATTACAGATGACGAAGCAAAATATAATCAAAGTACGTCTTGAAGAGGTAATCAAATTTATTATAGACTAATATAATACTGGCAATAATAAACTGCTATCCAATTACATCGCGTATATTTTGTGCAAAAAGCTAAGAATTATATATAAATATTAATATTGTGGAAGGGGGGGGGGGAAGCGATTGTTAGCAATGGAGTTTGACAGCCCCATTGCTAGCAATGTGCCCTATTAGGTCGACCTCCACGTGGTTCCCCCTGGAAACCATCGTGAACAATTCTTGTTGAATTCGTCACGATGGGCCAACTGACCTGCTTCATCCTCACCTATCATTCTTCACTGGTGCCCCGGCAGCGTATCCCGATAGCGCAGGCGGGGTTACCATTCCATTATCACCCATTAAAAAAAATTCTGCTAATAGTGAATCTTTGAGGTCAATGACATTAGGCATAAAATGAATTATTTATTATAGTTTGTAGAATTTGATGCAAATAATAATAATAATAATACCAAATTAACAATAAATTAAGACAATAATAATGTATGTTTATTTTGTTTAATCTAACTATCTCTAGTAGTCTTTCACACCAAATGTGATTTTACGCATATATTAAATGTTAACAAAGGTAAACATAATAATTAAACTATTTTGTGGATTTGGTAGTTTAATTTCCTATGACAATGGTGTGTATGTGCAGAGAATTTTAATTTTTTTCAGTTTATTACGTACTTAGTACTATTTTATTAGATTTATCGTGACGATAAAATTGTACGATAACGTACCGTATATAACGATAAATTATAAAAAAAATCAAAATACAAAAAAATCACTGTCTTCAGTCGTGGCAAAACCAATTGTTTTCATCTAAAAACTAAATTACTGTAACGATTTTGATAAAATATCTGATGATGAGACCAATCTGAAAGTATAATCCTTTCTCATAAAAAAGAATTTTCTAAATCGGTTCATAAATTACGGAGTTATGAAGTAACGAATGAAAAATACAATCGAATTGGAAACCCCATCCTTTTATGAAGTCGGTTAAAAAATGTCCAATGATCTATAATCATCTGTATACATATTGGGTGTAATGTATCAAATTTAATAAATAATTGTAAACAAACTTTTTATTATTTAAACAGATTCAGTGGTTTGGTGGGTGCTTTAGGAAGTCTAGGCGCTGGTTATAACGGGCTTCCATCAGTGATGTCTGGCCTGGACGACTCCTTGAGCGATGTAGCGCCGCGCAAGAAGTATCCGTTCGAATTGGAAAAAGCAATACACAACGTCATGTTCATACAGCATCACATGCAACGCCAGGACGAATTCAATGCGGTAACGTATGAATTTTTAAATTTGGAATATAAAATCTAATGGCGGGTCTAGATTAAATGTGTTTTTGTTACAAAATCGCGCCAAGAGCACGTCCACTGCAACTGCAGTGTTTGTCTAGACAGCGTATTTTGGCTGTTTTCATTTGTTTTGTTAGATTTGCTCGCTCTGGACTTGTTTTTATATCTGTACATATATTTTTGAACTTAGGGGTGGTATCTAAAATATGTTTTTCTCCAACAGGAAGATCAAGATTGGGGTTTTGTTGCGATGGTGCTCGATAGGCTGTTCCTATGGATTTTCACTATCGCCTCCATAGTTGGCACCTTCGCCATCCTCTGCGAAGCCCCGTCCCTCTATGATGATACTAAGCCTATAGATATGATCCTTTCATCGGTGGCCCAACAGCAGTTCCTGCCCGTTGACAGTGGTAGCGGAGATACTGTGACGAACTACCCTTAAACTATACATTTCTATATTTAAAAAAAGAATGAAATAATGTTATATCTCTACAATATGTATTAAAATCGTTAATACTATAAAATTTTAATCATCAGAAATGGCAGAATATGAGATTGTCACAGGCATCATGATTTCATGACTATTCGTGTATAAGTGACGGTCAGCACTTTACATCAGTTTCGCGATTTCAAAAAATCAATTCAATTCGGTATTTTTTTTTATGTTTATTAAATCATACCTCCATTAGTTCTAAAGCAATTTGGAAAATTCTTTTTTTTATTTTAAAGGATGTACTTACAGATCGGTTTCATAGAAATTTTATCAAAATTGGTTTAGAAGTTTATATTTTACAGCGAAATAACTGGTTTTGTCACAATTGAAGTCTTTCTTCTTCTTTTTTATGGGACGCAGTCTTTTCAAGACATTAATCATTTTTATAATTATTTTTGTAAATTATAGGGTTTACTCTTTTAATTTTTGGTCTTCGTTTTTTGTGGATTTTTTTGTTTATTTTAATTGCTAATTGAGTAAGGTTTTGAAACAATCATTCACTGTAAGTTTTGTAGAACATTTTTGTACATTACATTCCAATAAAATCAAATATCATATTCTAAAAAAAATTAATATCTTGATTTTGATACCATTCTCTTTACAACGATATTTATACTAAAACTAAATATATACCCAAATAAATATCAATGTAACAGAAAATAATAACAAAATCAATTAAAAACATTAAGTAGACACGGCAGTGGTTTTATAATCTCTATTTACCACTAATATTATGAACTACATCCTATTTACTTGCAACCTAATATCATAAATATAAGAAAATAAAAACTTTCTAATTAAAACGGGCAATACCATAGGCTATAGCTAGTTAATTGGCAATATCGGATTAATTCATAAGATCATTCAATGGAGTTCAAAATCATACTTTTTACGAGCGTCAAATAATATCAAATCTTCTAGCTAGACAATAGCAAAGATATAAAACAAGCGTTTTGTACTTTTTATGAAGGACTCACTCAATATTGTTTTTATTTTAAAGGTGAGTACATACTAGATAATTTCCATATAACAGTGTAATGTTCTTGAGAGTATTACAATACAAGGTGAAGCTCCATTCAGTAAGGCAATATCATGTAATGTAACATTCCTGAGAATATTGAACTTAATAGTCATGGCGAATGAGTATATTACGCGAAACATTTCGTTTTGCTTTTATTCTTCGTTTAAATGTCGAATCTGCAAGTCACGCGTACATTTAATGAGTTGTAATAAAAAAACTAAGAACAAAGATTGTGGTAAATCAATATATTATCAATAAATATACTTTGCCACGCTCGTACCTTTACTCGATGACATGTTACTAATTCGCAAAATCGAGTCACGATTCATATTCAGATCGAATATGAATACGAATACCGAAAATATCGATTATTAAATAGATTATATTAGATAAGGTACTGTATCTATTCGATTGGTTTGTATGGATATTTATATACAATAATTAAGTATATATTAATCATAAGATTTTTAGTAGTTTCATTTCTAATTTCAAATAATCTGTTTTGCATATATTTAATTTTATATCAGTTTAGATACAATAGCCATTAATAAATTATAATAAGTACATAAGAGCCAAAATAGGCTGTGAATTATTATTATACTGATATTGTTAATAATTCTAATTATAGAATTTTTAAGCATATTTAACAACGTACTAATAAGTAGCTTGATAATGGAACGTTGCTAGAAGATTCTTCGACACGTAACAATAGTTTATTCATGTATGCATACTGCGAACAAGTATCGTATACTAGACCTATTTCTCGATATTTTGACAAATCTCTTTTATGTAGTTAATCAGTATACGTACATATTATAGTGGAACATAGCTAAGTACTGTACTCCCTAGCAAATTTTGAAGTTACAGTAATTTATAGTTATTTCATACAACTATAAATTACTGTAACTTCAAAATTATAATATTACATATATTAGAATATTACATTACAATACACTCAGGTCAGTCGCCACCTTTAGGGCTAATAATATTCGAGGGGAACTTAACAAATATTTATCCCGAAACTAGGTACAAAAAGAAAACAGTCCTCGCATCGGAAATCATGTAAGACATCGTTCGTAGCTGTTTTGATTCCATTAGGATAATAGGGTGTGTAAGGTATCTCAAGCCTGGAGGGTTTGAACATTCTAGAGCCATTCTATCGCTCTATTAATAAAGATTTATGTATTACGTGTACGTGTTTATAAAAAAAAACTTAAAATATACCTATCAATTGTCTAATACTTTGCTTAGTTTGGGGTTAGATGGCGCTGTATCCAGTTGTATTTGTTTCATTTCTCAGCTTTCGAAATTAGCAATACGCTTCTCAAATGCTGTATTTAAAGATAAGTAAGTGTGGTGTATGCGCAGTGTATGTGTGCAAGTTCTGTATGGAAAATTATGTGTATGAGTTATGAGATGTAAATTTTGAACTGCAGTGTATTTTGTATACATGGTTTTAAATACTATACTCTATATAGCGGTGTTTGTGACCTTATTTCTTTTGCTAATATAGTAAAGTTTGTATCTGAAGTAGTATATATATAGATATATGCATCTCTTCATGAATTTTTCTTCGTCCTTTTTCGATAATTTTGTTTATTATTATTTTTCCTCACTAATCTTTCAGAACCAGTAAATTCTTCTTAATGTTATACCATACAAATGGTCCAATAACTGATTGGGCGTAATATGTATGTGCTTATGTATAAATTTTGTATGAAAGATTAGTTATTTTAATTATAATAATAATAATTCAGACTACAATTTGATCCATTTTGTTAGTAACAATTTCCTTACAATTAAAACAGTTAGTGAAAAAAAGTTATGAGGAATAACTTCATTTTACTGTATATTTTCTATGAACTGTTTTGAATGGGTTACTCTAAATGTTTATATTTTACTCGCTGTAAAATTTTTTTCTTTTCGGCTTTGAGAACTGATAAAATAAGCCTCTCGGGATATACCACACTTACGGTATCCAAGTAAATGTTGTGTGTGTATGTGTGGGTGTATCGTTATTATTATAAGTACTGTTATATAATTAGTGTTAGTAAATAAGAATTTTCATAATAATGGCTGTGTTAGTCCAATATATTTGCTATTTACGAATAAGTTGGTTTAACTTAGTGATTAAGTATTTAGTTAAGTAATTTGTAGCTGTTTCATGTTAAAATTCATGTTTTAATATAACTTTTAACATTACAATAAACTTACATATTGACAATTATTGTTTTATTGCCCTATCCTATCCTATCAACCCATCATTAACGTTCCACTACCGAACTGGAGTCTCTTCTTATTAGAAGAGGATATAGATTTAGCCATATAAATAAGTATTGCCATGTTGGCTAAAGATTTTCACCATCGTACAACCCGCCATAAATACTACTCCTGAACGGATTTGAAAGAAATTTGGTACACAGATAGGTCATATACTAAGTTAACATAATAAATACTACATATATATATATTTTTATACAACTTAGAATGGCAAACAAGCTGACGGCCCGCCTGATGGAAAGTGGTAACCGTCGCCTATAGACATGAGCAGTACCATGGACATAACAGAGTATACTGTTTCGCCCATGAAACCCCCTACCCATGCGTTGCCACTAATATATACTAAAATTAGGCTATATTCTAACTTAGAACATAGGATACTATTTTATATATTTATATATACGAGTATATACTAATTTACGCGGGTTACTATTACTATATATATTTAACAAACGTATTACGGTCGATCTTTCTTAAAATAAATATTTAAAGGCATCACTTCAAAGCGCAAAGGCTCGTTTGATATGGCATAATATCAAAGATACACACCAAATTTTCTATAAAACGCGCAATTTCCTGCGTTTTTCCAATCGACCAGCGCCATCCAGAGTTGAGATATATTTACTCGCGCTTTGAATTATTCATCATAGCTGACCGATCGTTGCTGCCGAAGCATCGACTTCGAAATGGGCAATTTTAATTCAATTAGACCACAGGGCAGACAGCAATAAATAATGTAGTAGTTTATTAATGTATCTGAAAATATACTATCTAAAATCTTTTATCGATACAAGTTTGTGATAGTCATTTTATCTATTCATATTTTTTTTGTTCTAAACTTAACTTTTATTAAAAAAAAAATAAGCAAAAACTATGTTTCTTGTCCTTTCTTCACGTCACAGCTGAAATTGTATTCCGAACTGGGCGGTAGATTCGTAAAAAATTACGATTCAAAAGTACATATTAATAAATTCACTTGAATAAGAATTATTTATTATTAAATTATTACTGCAACAGTTAATTTTAAACATTCTATATGTTTACACATATTTGAAGTATATATCGAAACGTTGACAATAAAAAATTAGGTGTGTAGATTCTATTTACTTGCAAAAAATCTTCATCCCGTTAAGTCTCGACAGTGTATTTGAAATGTTGCAATAGAGACTTTGTACAAAGGTCGATTGCTTGGGTACCTCTGTCCCATTCGTATTTCAACCGTAAAGCAGTTGTATTTTCATGGCTGTATTTCGGTTTGAAGAGTGGCCGTAAAGCAGTTGTGTTTGGATGGCTGTGTTTTGATTTAAAGGATGGAATATGGTGTGAATTTACAAAGTACAGAGGAATAATACCTGAGTCCTCAGGAATGACAACGCATGGGGGGTATCATGGGCGAAACAGTAAACTCTATTATGTCCATGATACTGCTCATGTATATAGGCAACAGTTACTACTTTCCATCAGGAGGACCATCAGCTTGTTTGCCATTCTAAGTTGTATATAAAAAAAAAACATAAAAAAAACCTAAAGACTAACATTTTATGTGTCCAAAGAGATACCATGCCAGTACGACCTTCTCGTGGTTCCCCCTGGAAAGCATTGAGATTGATTTATTGTTACATTCGTCACGGTGGCCTAACTGACCTGCGTCATCCTCATCAGTGTATACAGATAGCGCAGGCGGGGTTACCATTCCGTTATCATCCATTAACCCCCACCCCTCTCAATTGCATAAATGGGGGAAAAAGATTGTTAGTAATGAGGTGTAACTGACTCATTACCAGCAATACACCTTATCAGATCGACCTCCACGTGGTTCCCCTTCAAAACCATCGCAGTTAATTCTAGTGGAATTCGTCACGATGGGCTAACTGACCTGCTTTCATCGTCACCTATTATGTCTCACTGGTGCCCCGCCAGCGTATACCGATAGCACAGGCGGGGTTACTTTTCCATTATCATCCATTAAAAAAAATGCATAACTAATCAACAAAATCATTGTAGTATTGGCAAAGATATACCACAACATACACACAAAAATAAAGCCAAATATAGAATGTTCTCCTTTGTGAAATCGCTTAAAAAGCTATGATATTTTTTTATAACATCAATAAAAACTGAATTAAAACTTTTGATATAAACGACAATCACGTGCTTGAATATTGTCTCGAACCACAAAAGTTTTCATTGCAAGATATTATAAGTTTTACTACAGTAAAGGCATAACCTAGATCATTTCTATATCTCAAATTAAAGCATCCAATATTTAAAAATATTATCAAATATTTAATACAAATTAATATTTGCACACCCACCATCTCGCAGAATAAGCTTGGACTTTTTTCCTTCTAATACAATACCTTAAATTCTGTAGATGGAACATTAAGTCTCAAAAACGAGTCAACTTTTGTCAGCTAACTGTTAAATTAGCTGACATAAAGTGATTCGTTTTTTTTTTATCAGTTATTATTATCAGATGTTATTGTTATTTATTTCTTTACCAGAGGGAGACTTTGTACAAAAGTCGATTGCTTGGGTACCTCTGTCCCATTCGTGTTTCAACCGTGAAGCAGTTGTGTTTGCATGGCTGTGTTTCGGTTTGAAGAGTGGGATATGGCGTGAATTTACTGGGTACAGAGGAATGACTTCTGAGTCCTCAGGAATGGGAACGCATGGGGGGTATCATGGGCGAAACAGTATAGTCTGTTATGTCCATGGTATTGCTCATGTTTATAGGCGACGGTTACCACTTTCCATCAGGTAGGCCGTCAGCTTGTTTGCCATTCTAAGTTGTATAAAAAAAAAATTAATAACTACTATTATTTTACATCGACACATTTTATTAAATTATCTACGCCACTAAAGCAATGCTAACAAAAATTCGAGTATTCCAAACACTCACCACAGCTCGCCGGTGACAGAGTGGTGATTAAAAACCGGGTAGTGGGTTCAGTGCCGTTTACACGAGATTGGCGTCGGTCCAAATCGTTCGTGGCTTGAACTGTGCGGGTTTTTGTCTATCTGCTTGGGACGTTTTTAATTCGTGCCAGATGGGTGCTGGTTGGTGTCGAATAAATTTTTTTCGATATTGCTTTTTGCCGACTTCAAAAAAAGGTCCTCAATACAACCGTACATAAATTCATCAATATATGTATAAAAAAATATATTTCTCGGTACCTGCAGTTGTTTGTTTAGATAAGTTATAAATTAATTCATGTAAATGGAAAGAAACTGATTCCTTATACACAGCTATCGCTATATGTAGTGTTAAATAACTACTGTAACCGTCAACAAATATTTCTGACTACCCCATTTGAGATTAGAATAGAAAATATATTTATTTATTTTTTAGTTCCGTAGTAATCATTTTTTTTTTGGTTCAGTCATTATGAAATAGCGCAATATATTGTTGCGCGTAATCGTGTAACATGAACGCAGAAAGAACTAACCAGAAATCATTTAAAAACAAAATTTGCAAAAATTAATACTTAAATTTCAAACTGTTTTTCTGACACAATGAAAAGTTAGAACAATAATAATATAAAGAAGTGTTAAATTCGATTTGAAAATTAATTACAAAGACATTGGCACTGTCGACGCA